GCTGATGCAAAATGGATTTTGCACAACTGCATCATTTATAATGGGGGTGAGTGGCTTAGATGTCTCCTACGAAAGGGGCATGCTCTGTGTGTGTATTGCACATTCTCCTGCCCTTCATCAAAAATCAGGCTCTTAGTTTATGCATCAAGGCCAATAACTGAGAATGCTTTTGTATAGATTGCTTATATGTGTGAATAAAAAGGCAGTGACTATGTTCATTTGAAGGTATGAGCCGACATCTAAAGTGGCTCAAGACTATATGGTGCTGTTCATATTGTTTTTTTAAAGTCTTATTTTAATGTCGGTATAATTGCATACAATAAGTTGCACAGATTTTATGTGTGCATTTGACGAATTTGGCAAGTGTGTAACCACAGCCCCAAATAAGATCTAGAAAATTTCCATCAGCCTGTTAGATTTCCACTTGCCCCTTTCCAGTAAAGCCACTCTCGAAGGGAACTGCTCTTCTGTTTTGTGCCACTATAGATTAGTTTTACGTTTTTTAGAATTTCATATAAGTTGCGTCCATAGAGATTATACTTTTTTGTGTCTGGCTGCTTTCACACAGTGTAATATTTTTGGGATTCATTTGTGTGGTTGTGTGTATCAGTGGTTTGTTCCTTTTTTATTGCTGAGTAGTTTTTCATTCTATCAGTATACCACAATTTATCCATTTGCTTTGTTGATGTTGATTGATATTTGTATTGTTTTCAGCTTTTGTCTGTAATGACTAAAGCTGCTGTGAACTTGCTTGTACAAGTGTTTGGGTGGACATATGTTTTCATATCTCTTGGGTAAATACCTCAAAGAGGTATTGCTGGATCATCGAGTTGGTTTATATTTAACTTTGTAAGAAATTTGACCAAACTGTTTTTTGCAAAGTGGTTATATCGTTTTACCACTCTACTAGCAGGGTATATGAGAGTTCTAGTTGCTGCACATTCTTGTCAACACTTGCTATTGTCTGTCCTTTTAAATTTAGCCATTCTTGAAGGTGTAAACTGCTATGTCATGGTGGTTTTAATTTCCCTTTCCCTGGTAACTAATGGTATTGAGTATCTTTTAATGTGCTTATTATTAGTCTTGTATATCTTTTTGTGGTAATATATTCAAATCTTTGGCCCATTTCAAGAATTGTTTTTGTGTGTTTTTATTGTTGAGTTATCATTCTTTATATTTTGGATAAAGTTTTCTCAGTTGTGCTTTCTTGGATTTAGAGGATTGAGAATAGAATAGGATTTCTATTCAAACCTTCACTCTTGGCAACTTCTCCAATGCCCCATCTTCCCCTACGACCTTCTTTGTCTACCTTCTAGCCAGGTCGATCTTCCTGCTTCACCCTGTTGCTCTTGTCCCCAGGTCCTGATGTACACAGGTACCCCTGCTAGAACACTGTTCCCTTCTTTACCTGGATGACATCTTCTTATCCCTTCAGTTTCAGCCTCTCAGTCCTGAGAAGCCTTTCCTGATGTCCTAGACCCATACTTGCCCATGGCAGCAACATTTATCATGCTTTCTGAATGGTGCTGTTTTTATTTGTTTGAATTAACTCACTAGGAGATAAGCTCTTTTAAGGGCAGATGCCATGTCTTGTTCTCTGTATACCTCCTGGGTTTAGTGTAGACTGTTTGTAGTGTCTGAGGAAAGATGTATGAATGGGTGGATGTTTGCTTTAAGTACACATATTGCATTCTGAACTCAGTGGCAGGGCTGGGGATGAGGGGAGGGGAGAAAGGAGAAGCACTAGGCATTGAGAATTCGTGTAAAGATGATAGACTCAAATATACAGAAGGGCCTGTCAGGTCATATAAACAAGCGAATGTGGTCAGGTGGAAAACAAACATCCACACAAGCCAGGATGGCCCCTGGCCAAGGGGAGTGCTGGGGATTAGGGAGAACAGGCAACTCCTGCCTGGTCTGAGAGGTCGCCATTGGCAGCCCCAGTGTTTGGTTTGGTTACAGAGTTATCAGATCGTCTGAGTTTTCAAGGCAAGCCTGTCTAGATTTGTGTGTGTGTGTGTATAAATAAAATCTTCTTGTCAACACACTTAAAATTTCTGAAAATACCATA